AGAAAAAACAAAAAAAAAAAAAAAAAAAAAAAAAAGAAAGAAAGAAAACCAGTGGGCATCACTCAACCACATCATAAGGCAAACAAACAATCTGCAGCTGCCTGGGGCAAAAATAATAGTTGAGGTAAACTGGGGTATCTGAAATCAGGCCATTCCAAAGCACTCTGTAAAGTAGGAAATCTGGACTGCCTCAGCTATCCCAGGGCAGGTGATATGCTAGGAAAAGACCTAAGAAAAACTGAGCCCTCACCTTGATGTGCAGTGTAAACAGGAAGTGAAGGCTAAGACAATTGGGAATACTGTGATCACAGGAGCCCAACACAGAACCACAATCACAAAGACTGAGAGCTTCTGTCTTTTTGGTGCTTGAATCTGTGCTTATTCCGTCATTGAGGCTTGTGTGGATGCTAAGGATGTTTCCAAGAGCAGCAGTCAAGGGAAGCTCTTCTTAGGCACACATCTGTCACTGGGAAATGCCCGACGGGGAGGAGCAACTCTTGGGGCTCTGTGCTTCTCAGCTATTTGAGCTTTAATCTCTGAGACACTGGTTCACAGGCAGTCAGATGTAGACCTCACCCTGCTCTCTGTGGGAGATCAAAGCAGCAGCTGTTTTTCTAATTCTGTGAGGGACTTCAAAGGGCTAAAACCAGCTCACCCCTGTAGTGACCACAGTTGTGGCCCAGGATCTGTGTCACACACAGACTCCCCTAAAGCTGGATGGACATCCTTTTATAAAAGCAGTGTTTGGTTTTGACTTATCGTCACCCCAAAATTTGAGGGACACAGCCTCACTGTTGGTGTCTGCTTAGGAGCTTTGGGTGGATGCTGCACACATTACAAGCCTCTGCTGCCCACAGGACAGATCTAACTTGAAATGGTGAAGGACTCTAGGGAAGGTGACAGGATGCATGTAATTTGGACTCTGTCCCTCTGCAGACAGTGCCAACAATGATGGATAACATGCCATTTTTCCATGCAGGAAGGACATTCCCATGGAGCATGTGACACACATGGACAGAGAACAGACCAAGAAAGTGGTATACTCTGTGATCTATGGAGCAGGTGAGCCACAGGGAAGGGCTGGGTTCTTGGTTATATGCCTATATTTAAGTGTGCCAAGCTTCAGAGAAATCATTCTGTAAGTACCTGCGTGTTATTTACACTAACACTGCAATAGTGTTTGTGTCACCCGACACCAGTCAAACTACTCTATGCTACTGACTTATAGTGCCATAGACCCTTCAAGAGGAAGTAACAGGACCAGGCAATGGTGCACATGCCTTTAATCCCAGCACTCAGGGCCAAAGGCAAGCAGATCTCTATGAGTTCTAGACCAGTTTGGTCTCTACAGAGTGAGTTCCAGAACATCCAGGGTTACACACAGAAACCTTGTCTCAAAAAACAAAAAGGAGGAGACAACAGGTGCAGAGTGGGACTAGACCCTACCCCATATTTCACCACAGTGACAGGCATCATTTCTATGCTTAGAAACTCATCCCTAAACACAGACCAAGGTTTTGTAGAGTTCTACCACCCAAAAATGGGCTCTGGTTGGATTTAGTTCTTCTCAGCACACGTTCAATAATGAGTTGTACTTCTCTTTCTCCTCTTTCCAGAACCAAGAAATGTAACCCTTCTGCTTTCATAAACTCTCCCTCTTTTCTTTTCTCTTCCACTCCCTGTTTAGTCTATCAGTAGTTGTCTTAGCCAGGGTTTCTATTGCTATGAAAAGACACCATGTCCATGGCAACTCTTACAAAAGGAAGACATTAAATTGAGGTGGCTGGAAGCTTACAGTTCAGAGATCCAGTCCATTGTCTTCATGGTGGGGAGCATGACAGCATGCAGGCAGACATGGTGCTAGAGTAGTAGGGAGTTCTACATCTTGCAGACAACAGGAAGTCAACTGAGACACTGGGCAGTATTCTGAGCATAGGAAACCTCAAAGCCCATCCCCACAGTGACACACTTCCTCCAACAAAGCCATACCCCCTCCTACAAAGCCACACCTCCTAATAGTGCCACTCCCTGTGAGATTATGGGGGCCAATTACATTCAAACTACCACACTAGTGTTTTGTTTTGTTTATATTTTGTTTCTGTGTATGGATGTTCTGTCTGCATGTACATCTGTGCACCATGTATGTGCACTGCCCTCCAGAAGATGGCATCGGATCTGAGTGAACTGGGGTTAAAGATGTTTGTGAGCTGCCATGTGGTCACTGAGAATCAAACCCCAATCCTATGGAAGAATAGCCAGTGTTCTTTACTACTAAGCCATCTCTCCAACTCCAGTGTTTTCTTTTCTTCCTTTGGATCATGCTAAAATGAAGACTAGTTCCCTTCAGAAGAGGCTATGAGCTCCTCAGTCCCTTCTTGAGGAGCAGTCTACCTGCTGTCATAGATCCAGGCCTGCATGAACCTCCTTTCTCACTTTGGGGGATACTACTTTGAACACATTGGGGTTGTTCATAGGCCATAAGAAGAGCCACATCCTGACCACTGAAATCCAATACTCAAAGAAAGCCAGCAAGACTACATAAGCCTTAGTATGGCTTATGGTATGACACTTCAGCATGGTCATGCTTGCCACCCCTAGACCCACACAGTCTCTGTGACTATAGTGCATGGATGTGCGTCTTCCTCTGGATCACAAATACAGTCTTGTCCAGATCTCTCTCCAGTATTCATGGCTCTGCACTTGTCCTTCTCTTCATGGGAATGTTTTTCTCCCATGCACAAAACTCATCCATCTTTATTCAGCGCTCCCTTTTAAGTCATCATCCACCACTGTACCCATACCTAGGCAGCAAGCTACCACAGAAAGCCCATCTGTTACCTCACAGTTAATGTGGTGCCTACCCTGCAGACTACATTCAGTATGCTAACTGGGACTGTGGTATCATCATCTGTATGATACCTGCTGAGGCTCTGCTGGTATTCCACTTGCCTCAGCTTCTGTTTCCTGCTGCCCCGGGGGGTCTCTAACATGAACAGCCTGAACTGTGCCCGCTTTACACTTCAAAGCTGGCTGCTGGCTGCAAAGTACCTGCCGTACACCTGTTCATCTGTTCAGGGTAAAATGCCCATCCTGAGCATGAGTCCAAGAAGCCAACAGTACCCATCAGTTCTGCCTACTAACTAGTACAGAGACGCCTAAAGCATCCACTGAACACGTAGCAATCCTTTGAGAACATAAGATCATGTGAAGTGTCCCGAAAGCAAAGTGGAAGCCAGTAATTAAACTGAAGGGAAGGGACAGTCATGAACTATGTTCTCCTGTCTCATTTCCTCCTCAGCCTTCTCCTTACACCCCCACCCCCACCCCCGAAGCCCTCAGATGTTTCTGCCCGGAAGAAAGCAGGAGTCTGCCAGATTAGAACATGATGCCTTGGATCCTCCTGCAGATGTGCCATAAGCTCCAGCTCTGCAGGCCCAATGTTGCCAACACCCCCATCCCCACCCCCATCCCCACTCAGGCTCAAATCCCAGTCAATTCTGTCGACTCTTGACCTGCTAGTCTCACAAGAAGCCCTGTACCTCTTTGCCCACCCCTTTCACCCTAAAGGCTCTCAGAGGATTACCAGAGTTACAACTGGCACAGTTAACTATCATCTCCATCATCTGCTTCCTGTTTGTCTGTGTCCTATTTCAAGGGTGAGCTATGTAGCTAAGCTTCCAGAGGTCCCCTGACCCTCCAAGTTGGAGCTGGCTCAGAAGGGAAGGAGGGATTCAGGATGAATATGTGATTCTCCTAGTGTTGCCTGGCCCTTGCCTCTCCAGTAGTAGGGTCACCCCTCACCACAACAGTTGTATCTCAAAGAAAGATGACCTCACAACACCCACTGGCTCCTTCTGAGCTTTCACTTTATGTTTTCTGGAGGAAGGGCACCTCACTGTAAATAAGCAGTGAGTCATTAGCTATAATGCTGGTGAAGGGAGTAATTTGCTGCTTTTAGCCCTGGTGGTGACAGGGGCTCCCACCCTGAGCTTCTATCTCTGTTGCTCCATTGTTCCTGATCCACCTGACAGCTGGAATTACTGTGTCTCTGCTGTTCAGTTCATGCTGTCTCTATCCCACCCCCCTTATTTGAGCCAGACCTTGCTGATGAGCCGGCTGAGGGCATAAGTGAATCACTAGGCACCAATGTTGCTGCAGCCTTGGGAAACCCATTGGAAGGGCCTTGGACAGGCAGCTTGTGATGGCATGCCGGAGTGTTTCCACAGAAGCCATCTCTGAATAACCCAGAGCAGCTGATAGTAATGCTGAGCCAGAGAGAAACATAATTCCAGTGCAGCCTTCAGAGATCAGTTATGTGATCAGTGTGAGGAGGACTATGATGAGAACAGAAGGAAAAGCCACAGGGCTATGAGACAAGCAGAGAAGGCACTTAGAAGAGATGTGGGTGTGCATGCCCAGCCACCTGCAACATATACGACAACCGACAATCCTGCCTGGCTCCTATGACCTCAAATTCATGTACCCTATCACAGACTGATATCTTTGAGGCTGCAATCGGAACCAGCCGAACAACCCCAGATCGGATCCTGAGTGGAGAAGTGTGGATGAGGGAAGGCTAACTATTCAATGACATTAAGGATGAGACAGAGACATCTGGTCATATCAGGAGGGCAATCAGTTAATACAGTTTATTGATAGATCATCTTAAGTAACCATCCAAAGGTGAGGGCAATGGCAAAAGACATCTATTATCATGTATAAAGGACTGATAGCAAATATTTCCCTAAATCCTAGAGACACTCCTTAGCTGCACGAACTCAAGCCCTCAGGCACCCCACACCAGCACATCTCACTAGCCTTTAGGGTAGACTCACCCTGGCCCAAGGCTATTGTTATTTAGAATAGGAGCCATTCTCCACAGAGGCCAGGCCATCCAGCGTCTATCAGCAGACATCTAAAAGACGATAGAAATTCTGGGCTCTCCAGAACTCATAGCAAGGTGGAATAGATTTCCAAGATATACAGGAGTATATCTTGTGTAACACAAGTACCTCTTGTGTTATCTGGGATCTTGACCCAAGCTGGCTCACAAGCCCACTGCCTCTCCTATACCCAGCTAAATGCAACATCTGCCAACTTACTGGGCACCTTCTCATCTTGCTGGGCCTTCTTATAGCCATCTGTGCTAGTTGATTTTTGTAAACCTGATACAGACCTAGACATATCTAGGAAAATGGAATTTTAATTAAGAAAGTGCCTCTATGAAATTGTAGGAAAGTTTATGGGTTATTTTCTTGATTAATAATTGATGTGGGAGGCGCTAGCCCATTGTGGATGGTGCCACCCTTGAGCAGGTGGTCCTGGCTTGTATGAGAAAGCAGGCTGAGCAAGTCATTGGGAGCAAGCAAGCAGCCCTCTTCCATGTCCTCTGCTCCTGTTTCTGCCTCCAGGTTCCTGCCCTGCTTGAGTTCCTGTCTTGATGTCTTTCAGTGATGGACTATTACCTGGAAGTATAAGATTATAAATAAGCCCTTTCTTTCCAAATTTGCTTTTGGTCATGGTCTTTGTCATAGAAATAGAAACCCTAGCTAAGATACCATCTCTGAGCTCAGCAGGACCCTAGTCTCTACTGGTAATCTCCAGGCTTGCTGGGCTTCTGCTTTCTAAGGGTTGGCCTAGTGCTGAATTCTCACCTTGATTCCTCAGTGAGCTCCATATTCAGCTGTTGTACAATTTGCAGGTGCTTTCTGTATGCATGCAGAATGCCAGGCCCACCCTGCACCAGGACGACTGTGGATAAGGGTCCATGCCTGCTCCCAAGTGCCTGGCTCTTCCAGGAGAAACACGAAGTAAAGCCAAGCCTCATACTGAGTACCCTAGAGGTTGTACTTGTTATAGAGCTTCAGAACCTGGGAAGCTGCCCAGGGTAGCAATACCTAGACTGTATGGGAAGTCCTATTCAAGTAGACTAGACAGCATTCCTGGGGCTCTCTGTGGCTAGGCACTTGCTCAGTCCTAGAAACAGAAGTGCCCTAGTTACATTTCTGTTGCTGTTATAAAATACCCTGCTGAAAAGCAACCTAGGGAAGAAAGGTTTTATTATACTTACAATTCCAGGCTATAGTTAATTATTTCAGGAACATTAAGGAAGGAACTTGGGCATCACATCCACAGTCAAGAGCATAGAGAGAATAAGCACGTAGATCCTTGCTTGCTGTTCTCTTTCACTGTTCAGAAGCCCTGTCTAGAGAATAGTGCTGCCCACAAGGAGCTGAGTCTTACTATGTCAGTCAAAATGATTCCCCATGGACATGCCTCCAAAGCCAGCCTGATTTCAGATAAGACCTCAGCTGAGCCTCTTCCCAAGTGACTCTACTTTGTGTCAAGTTAACAATGAAAACTAAGGAACATGATCTGCCCCTTAAATTGACATGCAAGTACTATCTGTAACTTTCCACTCCTTGATCTGAAAGTATTATTTTAATTTTACCTTTTTTTTTGTTTTTTTGTTTTTTTGTTGTTGTTGTTTTTTCAAGACAGGATTTCTCTGTGGCTTTGGAGGCTGTCCTGGAACTAGCTGTTGTAGACCAAGCTGGTCTCAAACTCACAGAGATCCACCTGCCTCTGCCTCTGGGATTAAAGGTGTGTGCCACCACCACCTGGCTTTTCATTAGCTTTTGTTTGTTTGTTTGTTTTTGTTTTTCATACTTTTTATTTTAATGACTTATTTATTTTCATTTGTTTTGCATTGATATTTGCATATATTGCTTGCATATATGTCTGTGATGGTGTTGGATCCCTTGAAACTGGAATTACAGACAGTTATGAGATTGCCATGTGGGTGCTGGGAATTGAACCTAGTTCCTCTGGAAGAGCAGCCATTGTTCCCAACTGCAGAGCTATCTCTCCAGTCCTTATATTAATTTTATAATGTAAAATACAATCCAACTCCAAAAACCTCTGAAAGTCTTCAAAACTTCTGGCACCTCAAAAGTCCAAGGTCTGTTTTAAATTCTCTTAACTATAGGTTCCTATAAAGACAAAAACATTTTTCATACTTAAATGTTCTTCCAAAAACCAAGAAAAAAAAGCTGGGCATGATAGTGCACACCTTTAATCTCAGCTCTTAGGAGATAGAGACAGGGGGATGGATCTGTGTTTGAGGACAGGCTGGTCTACAGAGCAAGTTCCAGGACAGCCAGGTATATGCGTAGAGAACCCTGACTCAACAAAGCAAGGAAAAAAAGTTCTCCCAAAAGAGAAAAGCCAGGGCATAGCAAATGAAAAATCACACTTAAGCAAAACCAAAATCCAGCATAGACCCAAATCCTGTAGCTCAGTGTCTGGCATCTAAGATTACTCATAGTAATGGGTAAATGAGTAAATCTCCTGGTTTCCAAAGGGCTAGGGCAGGCCCACTTCTCCAGCTCTGCCATCTTCGGCACACATAGTTTTCCTGTTAAGCAGCTCCACTCCATCTCTACTCCATACCTACAGATACCCTTGGGTATACACTCTGTGGTTCTGTACTCTCCAATATCTTGGGGTCTTCACTGCACCTGAGGCTTTGCCTTTACCAATGGCTAGTCAAGCCCCCCCCCCATCCCTTCAGGGACTTCAACTCTATCACTCTATCTCTGTGAGTTCGAGACCACACCTCAGATGTTCTCATTGACCCCTTCATGCCTTCAAAGCCATTGCCACATGGACAACTCTTTCATTATCAAATTCTGCTGATGTGTAGCCTGTCCCCACTTTGACCACAGCTCATCAGCTCTTGTGTGCTGATGCTGAGAAAATACTTTTCTGTTATTCCAAGGAATCATGGAAGGTTTCCCCATCATGGTGCTAATTTTGTTGACAATCACAGCTGATTCTTCAGCCAATGATCAGCACATACAGTTTTTTTTTAAGATTTTATTTATTTATTATGTATACAACATTCTGCTTCTATGTATATCTGCACACCAAAAGAGGGCACCAGATCTCATAACAGATGGTTGTGAGCCACCATGTGGTTGCTGGGAATTGAACTCAGGACCTCTGGAAGAGCAGTCGGTGCTCTTAACCTCTGAGCTATCTCTCCAGCCCCCTACATACAGTTTTTTACCCAAAATATTACATAAATAACTTTAGCTCAGTTAATAACAAAGTTCTTGTTTCCCTCTGAAACATGATCTGGGCCTCTTCTGTCTGTATTACTTTCAGCAGTCTTATCATCAAAACTCCTACAAGAATGGCCTATTAAACCATCTGCAACTCCAGTTCCAGGGCATTCAATACCTCACCTGATCTTCTGATTACCACAGGCACCAAGAATGAGCATGGTTCACAGACATACATGAAGGCAAAGCATCCACACACATAAAATAAAATAAAATTGAAAAAAAAATTTTAAAAAGAATTGCCCAACAAGTTCTTTCCAGATAACTAAATGGCATTTTCCATCCCAAAGTAACAAATGCTTCTACATTCTTGCCATAAAAACAATCCAAGGCATAAAAGCTACATGGTTAGGTCTATTACAGAACACCCCACTTCTGGTAACAGTTTCTGTACTAGTTACATTTATGTTGCTGCAATAAAAATACCCTGGAAAATGGCAACTTATTAATTTGGCATTCAATCTATAATTCCTAAACATATAAGAAATGGGATACCTTGATCACAGTCAAGAGAAAGGGCATTCATGACACCAGAATTTGAGATGACCCAGATGTTAGAATTGTAGACAAGGACTTCAAGGACTTTATGCTCAAGAACATAAGAAAAACATGCTCACAAACAATGGGGGAAAATAAAAAGAGCCAAATAACAACTCTAGAGCTGAAATTAGCAATATCTGAAATTAAAGTCCCCCAAATTAGTTTAACAGCACATTGGAAATAAAAAGACAATTCCCTCTGTGTGACCTGGATAAGGGGCCCAGCATCTAGAGTGTAAAGCCCAAAGCCAATATTATTCAAACCAACCACATAAGGCTCACACCATCGCTAGGCCCTTCCTTATTCGCCACTTTGTCCCTGAGGCCTGCAGTTAACTCATTTCCACATGCTATGTTCTCACCTGGTATGGGTTAGGCCTGGATTTTGTGTATGTCTTCCTGATTCACAGGGAAAGAGCGGCTTGCTGCTTGCCTTGGAGTCACTGTTCTGGAAGCCACCCACTTTTTGGAGAGATTTTTGCAGAAGTACAAGAAAATCAAGGACTTTTCCCAGACAGTTATTGCCCAGTGTCACCATGCAGGTAAGCCAACTTCAGCCAGGCCCTTCCTCCTACAGTAAATGGTGGTGTTCTTGTGGGCACCATTTTGTGGCTATCTGGATAGACATACAAGTGAGTGTCTGTATGGTTTGTGTACAGATGGAGGTGACTGGGAGAGCCATCAGCCCTACTGGATCAGCAGGTATAAAAGACTCCATGTGGAAAGGAAGGGGATACCTGTAGCAACAAAATGAACAAGCTCAAATTAACTGTTACACAGTTAAACTCTGTCTCACAACAAACCAAACAATCAAACAAACAAACAAAAAAGACCCTGAAAGCAGAGGCCATATATTCCTACAAAAGGTTTGTAGCCCAGCCTGGTGATGGTGGCACACACCTTTAATCCCAGCACTAGAGAGGCAGAGGCAGGTGGATCTCTTTGAGTTCCAGTTCAGCCTGGTCTACAGATCAGTTCCAGGACAGGCTCCAAAGCCACAGAGAAACCCTGTCTCAAGCAACAACAAAAAAGGCTTGTAAACCATTTATCCAGTACCTCCACAAGTAAAATATAGCACAATAAGGATGTAGCTTTATAGTTCCAGGACAGCCTCCAAAGCCACAGAGAAACCCTGCCTCGAAAACCAAAAACAAACAAACAAAAAAAGGATGTAGCTTTATACACATGTGTGAGTATGCCTTCTGCCCTGTTTGGAAATGCATTGAAATCTTATGTAACTTTAGATTATATATAAAATACATATATATCCCAATAAAACAAGTTTTACCAAAACTTTAAGACTTAGCTACATAAATGCTTTAATTGGAAATAAAGGATAAAATAGTATTTTTATTTATTTTTAAATATGTACTTAAAATATATTTTTTATATTTAAAAATATACATTTTATAAATATAATTTTTATGTGCATAAGTGTTCTGTTTGCATGTATGGTGAGTGTATGCCATGTGTGGTTGGTGTCATGGAAGCCAGAATAGGGCATTGGATCCCCTTGAAACTGGAGTTACAGATGGTTGTGAGATACCATGTGAGTGCTGGAAACCAAACTCAGGTTCTCTGCAAGAACAGCGAGTGTTCTTAACTACTGAGCCATCTCTCCACTCCAAAAGTGTTTTTAAAAGCGATATTTGTAACTGGATTCAACACACACACACACACACACACACACACACACACACACACTAAAATAAATAAATAGATAAATAAATAAATAAATAAATAAATAAATAAATAAAACCTTAGGAAAGACCAGAGGGAATCACAGAAGGAAGGAAATAAATGGAGGATCACATATTAACAATAAGCAACAGGGTTAGTAATTGGTGCAGAGGTAGCATTCACAAATCAGTACTAAAAGGATAAAAAAATTAAAATTGGATTGGGCTGGCAGGACTTCCCATTCCTAAATGAGCTCTAGCATGTGCCCCCAGGGTACAGCAAACACCTGTAGTGCCAGAATGTGTAGCAAGTCCATTTATACAAATGTTCTCAGGGACTCAAGAGATGATAGCCTGAAGCCTGTGCTCATGCTCATAAGTTCTAGGCAGCCACCACAGGCTTGTCCTTGGCTGCCTGCCAATGCCATCAAGCAGCACTGGTGCCCAGTCACCTCCTATTGGTCAAAGGGAACCTCTACAAATCCCTAGCACATTCAGATCCCAAAGCTCACTACTTACTCGGACCCTGGTCATTGCCCCACATCCATCAGGCCTCTGTCTACCCTGTCCATTGTCTGCCCAGGAGCCTCAGTAGAAATTAAAATTCTGTCTATTTGAAGTGATGCAATAGTGATAGTACCTGGTGTTGATGAGAATATAAGAAGCAGCACAAGCAAAGTGAATTTTATGGTGGCATGACTCATGTGGACCCTTGTTACTGGCTAATCAGTCATGGTGTTTCCAGGCATGAAATAGATAAGAAGCCTACTAAGTTTTTGTTTGATGTGTATAAGCAGAAAAATTCTCAAACAAATGAAAGAAAGGCTACATAAAGGATAGTAGCAAAAGTCAATCTTGGCTCATGAATCAATTTCCAGACCTGAGCCAGTTTGCAGACCTAGAACTCCTTGAATGAAGGGACAGCCAGGTTCCCCTGAGGTAGGACTTGATAAAATACCTAAAGGTTTTCTGTTATCCTTTCTCCAGCCTTTCCCCAGAGGGACCTACAGCCTTCCATAAGGGGAACTGTACACTGTAGGAAAGGAAACAATCAGACTTTCTGGGGTCTATTGAATATTTTCTTTTTTTTCCAGACAGGGTTTCTTTGTGTAGCTTTGGAGGCTGTCCTGGAACTTGAGCTATAGACCAAGCTGGCCTCAAACTCACAGAGATCCACCTGCCTCTGCCTCCTAAGTGCTAGAATTAAAGGCTTGCACCATCACAGCCCAGCAGGTACTGGTTCTTAATTGACTCTGATTCTGGGAGATCCTAAGAAACCTTGTGGCCTTCCAGTTACAGTAGATGATTAATGGAATTTTGGCTGAAGTCTGGACTCAGTAGGTTCAGTGGATCCCCATACTCATCTTGTAGTTATTTCCCCAGTCCCAGAATGTATAATTGGGATAGATGTACTTAGAAGTTGGCAGAATTCTCACATTGGCTCCCTGATCCTGCAGAGTGAGGGCTGTTGTTGGAAAGGCTAAATTGAAGCCTTTAGAGTTGCTTCTGCCAAAGAAAATAGTGGAGCAAAACCAGGATCACATCCCTGGAGGAACTGAAGAAATTAGTGCCACCATCAAGGGCTTGAAAGATGCAGGGATGGTGGATCCCATGCAGGGATGATGGTTCCCAAAGTATCTCCACTTAAAGCTCCTATCTGGCCAGTGCAGAAGACATCTGGATCATGGAGAGCGACAATTGACTGTTGAAAACTCAATCAAGTAGTAAACTTCAGTTGCATCTTCTGTACCAGATGTAGTGCCCTTACTTGAGCAAATTAACACATCTCCTGGTGCATGGTATGCAGCTATTGATCTAGCAAATGCCTTTTTCTTGGTACCTGTCCATAAGGACCACCAGAAGGCATTTTCTTTCAGTTGGTAAGGTCAGCAATATACCTTTACAGTTTTGACTCACAGATATGTTCTCTTCCAACCTATGTCATGACTTAGTTAGACAGAATATTGACCATCTGTCTCTTCAACAAATTATCACATTGGTGCACTATATTGACAACATTATTCTGATTGGACCAAGTGAGCAGCAAGTAGCAACCACTTTGAACTCATTTGTAACACATATGCAAATCAGAAGATGGGAAATAAACCTAACCAAATTTCTACTTCAATGAAATTCTTAGGAGGCCAGTGGTATAATGCATGCATATAAATACTTCTTTCAAGGTGAAGGATAAGTTATTGTTTCTGGCCCCTCCCACCACCAAGAAAAAAGTACAATGTTTAGTGGGCTTATTTAGTTCTGGATACAGTATATCCTTACTTGGGTGTGTTACTGTGGCCCATATACGAAGTGACACAGAAAGCTCTTAAGCTTTGTGTGGGGCCTGGAATAGGAGACGGCTCTTCAACCAGTTCAACACTTGAACCATATGATCCAGCAGACCCGATGATACTTGAGGTATCGATGGCAGATAGGGATGCTGTTTGGAGCCTTTGGTAGGTCCCTATAGTTGAATCATAAAAGAGACCTTTGAGATTTTGGAGCAAGGCTCTACCATCATCTGCAGACAACTATTCTCTGTTTGAAAGCTCTTGGCCTGACATTGGGCCTTAGTGGGAACTAAACATTTGACAATTGGCCACCAAGTTACTATACAACCTGAGCTGTCATGAACTGGATGTTATGTGACCCACAAAGTCATAAAGTAGGATTGCACAGCAGCAATGTATTAACAATAGAAGTGGTATATTTGTGGTCAGACCTAAGCAGGTCCTGGAGGCACAGGCAAGTTACATAAAGAAGTTGCCCAAATGCCTATAGTTTCTACTCCTGTTACAATGCTATCTACTGCCAAGCATGCACCTCATGAGGTGTTCCCTATGATTGGTTGAGTGAGGGCCTGGTTTACTGATGGTTCTGCACATTGTACAGGTCCCACACACAAATGAATAGCTGCAGCATTACAACCCTTTTCTGGGACAACACTGAAAGACACTAGTGAAGGGAAATCTTCACAGTGGGCAGTACACATGGTCATACATTTTATTTGGAAGGAGAAATGGACAGATGTGAATTTTATTCATGGGCTGTAGCCAGTGGATTGTATGGGTAGTCAGGGATATGGGAAGAGCGTGATTGGAAAAGAGGTAAGAAAGATATCTAGAGAAGAAGTATGTATAGATCTCTCCAAATGGGTGAAGAATGTGAAGACTTGTGTCCCATGTAAATGCTCATCAAAAGATGACTTCAACTGAGAAGTTCAGTAATATAGAATGACTCATTCCATGGACAGTCAGCCTCTTTCCTCAGCCATTCCTGTCACTGCCATATGAGCCCATGAACAAAGTGGCCATGGTAGCAGAAATGGAAGTTATTCATGGTTTCAATAACATGGACTTCCACTCACCAAGGCTGACCTGGCTACAGCTACTGCTGAGTGCCAGATCTGCCAACAGCAGAGACCAGCACTGAGCTCCAGATGTGGCAGCATTCCCCCAAGGGTGACCAGCCAGCAACCTGCTAGCAGGTTGATTACATTGGACCACTTCCTTACTTATTCTGGTGGTGGATTTGTCTTTCCTGCATGTAATGCTTCTGCCATAAAACCATCATCAGTGGACTTAGAGAATGCCTTACCCACCATCATGGTATTATACATAGTACTGCTTCTGGCCAAGGAATTCCCTTCACAACCAGAGAAGGGCAACATCATGAAATCCACTGATCTTACCATGTTCCCTACCATGCTGAAGCAGTTGGCCTGATAGATGAAATGGCCTTTTGAAGACACAGTTACCACACCAATTAGATGGCAGCAGCCTGGAGGGCCAGGGCAGGGTTCTCCAGATGACATATGCTTTGAATCAGCATCCAGAATTTGGTATGGTTTCTCTCATAGCCAGGATCCAAAGGTCCAGGAATCAGGAGGTGGAAAAGGGAATAGTTCCATTCACTATCACCCCTCAGTGACCCACTAGGAAAATTATTCTGCCTATTCCCTCAACCTTGCTGGCCTAGAAGTTTTGGTCCCAATGGTGGGGTGGGGTGTTCCTACACTCCATTAAACTGTTAAACTGGAAGTTCAGGCTTGCCCCTGGCCACTTTGGGTTTCTAATGTCCTTAAACCAACAGGCTAAGAAAGGAGTAACAATGATCCAGGCTTGGTGATGCACACCTTTAATCACAGCACTTGGGAGACAGGGGTAGATAGATCTTTGGGAGTTCAAGGCCAGTGTGGTCTACAAAGAGAGTTCCAGGACAGCCAGGGATATTACACAGAGAAACTCTCTCTCCAAAAAGAAAAAAGAAAGGAGTAATAGTGCTAGGTGGAGTGATTTATCCAGATTATTATGGGCAAATTGGATTCCTTCTCCAGAATGCAGGAGATCCTTTAGAGCATCCTTTGGTGCTACCATGTCCTGTGATTAAAGTCAGTGGGAAACTACAACAGCCCAATCCTGGCATGATGACAGAGGGCACAGACCCATCAGGAATGAAGGTGCAGGTCACTCCAGGAAAAAAGCTAAGACCAGCTGAAGTTCTTGCCTGAGGTTGGAGAAAATACAGAATGGGTAGTAGAGGAAGATTGTAATGATAAATGTTTCTGCCAAGCCTCCTGAGCCCTGCTGCCACATGGGTGCCCGAAATAACACACTGAGTCTTATTTTAGGTACAATGCTGCTGGCCAATGACTAAGATTTCTTATTTGCTAGCTTTATCTTAAGTATCACCCATAACTATTAATTTATATATTTTATAAACTTATTGAGGATGCCAGCAGCAAGCATCCTGTCTTCTTGGGCTCACATGGCGACTCTAGAGAAGTCAGAGCAGGTGCAAGAGGCAGAGAGTGATTTCCTGCTTGTCCCTGCTTATATTCTGAGTCTGCCTGCTATGTCACTTCCTGCATGAATCACAAGACTTATTTTTACTCCATTTCCCAGAATCCTCCTCAACTCCTAGTCCCACCTGTCTGTCTTGCTCCCTTATTGGCCAACAATGCTTTATTCAACAACCAGTAAGACAAACATATATACAGAAGCACTTCCCCCATCAGAAGATAGTTATAAATGCCAGCTAAATCCACATGACATGATACAGAAATGGATTATAATTGGCACGAGTGTTCTGTCATATTTTGTTAAGAATGTGTTTGTACAGATATTTCCTCAATTACTTTATCATGTACTGTAACATCAATTAAGAGTATCAATGATTTCTGGGCGTTGGTGGTGCATGCCTTTAATCCCAGCACTTGGGAGGCAGAGGCAGGCGGATCTCTATGAGTTTGAGGCCAGCCTGGTCTACAGAGCAAGTGCCAGGATAGGCTCCAAAGCTATACAGAGAATACCTGTCTTTGAAAAAAAGAGTATCAATGATTATCATATTTAAGTTTGAGATAGCAAAAGAATGTTCCTCATGGGACATTGCTACCTATTTTAAATTTATAATGTGTTGTGGTTGTACAAGGGATAGTTATATCATTTTAGGTATAATTCTAACCTGGTTAAATATGTAATACTTTGTGATTGTACATGGGATAGTTATCTCATGTTCAGGCATTATTATGACCTAGTTATTCCTTCATTTGGAAATTAATCACAACATAAGGAGCTATGATTGTGTGTCAAGTTGAGAATGAGTGGGCTTCTGAAGGCTATTCATGGTTGCCAACTTGACTACATCTAGAATTAACTAAAACCCAAAAATGGAGGGCACAATGTGAGGGGTTTTTGCTTTATTTGAAGTAGGAAGATCCTGTTCTAATCCAGATCTTTGAGGTGGTAGGAAGACAATTCCTTTAATCCAGATCATTTGATCTGAGAGACCCCACCTCTAATCCTATCCACACCTTCTTCTGGAAGCCTATCTAAGAACAAGGAAGAAGGAAGCTTTTGCTCTTTGCATGCTTGCTCTGGCCTTGCTAGCAAGTCCATTCCTTCACTGGCATTAGAGCCTACTTCTGGATTCTAGCATATACTGAAGACTAACTGAGACATCCAGTCTCATGGACTGAGCAACCACTGGATGCCTGGATTTTCTGTTCACAGCCAGCCATTGTTGGGTTAGCTGAACCATAGCCTGTAAGTCAATTTAATAAAACACACACACACACACACACACACACACACACACACACACGTAGAGAGAGAGAGAGAGAAAAAAATATATAGAGAGAGAGAGATAGAGAGAGAGAGATTGATTCATTCTGTAAGTTCTTTTTTTTTAAGATTTTATTTATTATGTATACAACATTCTGCTCAGAAAAGGGCACCAGATCTCATTACAGGTGGTTGTGAGCCACCATGTGGTTGCTGGGAATTGAACTCAGGACCTCTGGAAGAGTAGTCGGTGCTCTTAACCTCTGAGCCATCTCTCCAGCCCTCATTCTGTAAGTTCTATTACTCTAGAAAACCCTAACTAATACACAAACATAGCGGGGTTTTGGTTTTTTGAAGATAGCTTTGGCTTTGTATGCCAGGCTGGCCTCAAACTCACAGAGATCTACCTGCCTCTGCCTCCTGGGTGCTGGGATTAAATACATATATCACCACCACCAGGCAAAATAGTGCTTTTGTGTGCATTTTATTTATTTATTTATTCATTTATTTTTGTTGTATGAATGTTTTGCCTGCATATATGTCTGTGCACTACAAGCATGCAGTGCCTGCAGAGACCAGAAGAGGGTATTAGATCCTTTGTAATTAGAGTTACAGATGGTAGCTGTCATGTGGATGCCAGGAAGCAAACTAGAAGGATAAGTGCTTTTTCTTTTCTTTTCTTTTCTTTTCTTTTCTTCTCTTTCTTTTTCTTCAAGACAGGGTTTCTCTGTATAACAGCTCTGGCTGTCCTGGAAATCACTATGTAGACCAAAGTGGCCTCTACTTGAGAGATCTGACTGCCTCTACCTCACAAGTGCTGGGATTAAAGGTGTGTGCCACCAACCCCTGACGGATAAGAGCTCTTAACCACTGAGCCATATCTCCATACACTTATGCATTTCCTAAGAGCCCTAAGTCATGTAAGCTTCAGGCCTACCTTCATGTAAGAACATACTCTTCCTTGCTTTGGATTTCAGCTGCCATACACCCCAGAATGACTCCTGTGCCCAAGCCCTACATACAGCTTTGAATAAAAATTTCCCTCCCTTGTTCTATGTAAGATCTTAATGCAACTGGAAACTGGAAAAGAGTTGAAGCTTGACACCTGGCCAGCAGAAGCCATCCCATCACAGGCCTTACTGTAGAGAAGCCATCTGCCTGGGAATGTATGGGAAGTGGAGGGCAGTATAAGTACCTGTTTCTTATCTGCTTCTCCTTCCTATACCCTAGGCTATGTGACATCCATCTTGGGTAGAAGGAGGCCTCTGCCAAGGATCTGTGCACAGGACCAGAAGCTTCGGGCACAAGCAGAGCGACAGGCAGTAAACTTTGTGGTACAAGGTACTAGAGCCTCTAGCCTACCACTGCCTGTGGCTCCTTCCCCTAAGGCCCATGTCCCCTGCTCCTCACGTGTTTGGCAGATTGCTGTGGGTACTTCATGTTCGGTATGAAGCCTTACAGCCCTCCCCTATCCTGCTTGACAGGTGTCACAGCTGCTGAGGTGGTGGCTGGGCCATTTTTATGGTTTAAGTGTTTTTGTTTTTTTTGTTTTTGTTTTTGTTTTTTAAGGACATGGTGAAGCATGACTGCAACATTAACCCTTGGAAGGCTGAAGCAGAATTGCCAAAAAATTGAAGCTATCCTAAGCTACAAGCCAGATCTATTTTTTTAAAAAATGAAAGAAAAAGATGGTCTCCCTAGGACCCATGTAGGCCATTCTGTTCCCCTCTAAAAGTAGGAACCTGAGTCCCCAGGAGCGTCACCAACCACAGAGCCAGTCCTAGAGATGGGTTACTTGACACAGGCTGGGACCCCTTTTTCACACCCTGAGTATCTGGCTGGAGTCAAGCTTCCTCACTAAGACATCCAAGCCACATCCCCCAGCACTGAGAAGGAAACAACTCCATTGCATTGGGGATGCATGATTTGCTTCCAGTCGCAAAAACTCCTTCATTGTTAGCCAGTGGAGTGAGCAGTGTCCATTGGAAATGTCTCTATAATAGCTCAGGCACTGTGAATTACACACCCCAGGCCCTAAAACAGAACCCTGTGTCCACAGGTTCAGCTGCAGACCTCTGTAAGCTAGCCATGATCCGCATCTTTGCTGCAGTGGCCACATCCCCAACCCTGACAGCCAGGTCAGTGAAGAAGTCATTTTTTTCAGGGCCCAGCCTTGAATTCCTGCCAAAGAGGGTTGTTGGGTACCAAAATGGCATTGCTCCTTCCTACCACATGTTTTCCCATCCTATCCTAAGGACCTGAAGCTCTTCCCATGGGCCTCTACACACCAGGGTTCCCCTATCACTGCTTATGTGGGTCCGCACCTCTAGTCTTAGGAGGAAATCTCCAGGAAGATGACAGCTTCCCTAGATCTTAACATGTGAAATGGGCCCCGTGGAGCCCTGGGCTGCAACCCCAAGAGGGCTTTGGAGACATGGGAACCTTGTCTGTGGGGACGGGATGGGGGGGGGGGGACGGACCTCACCAAGCTTACAGTTTTCTCTTGGCCTGTAATATAATTCATGCTGAAGGCATGAGTTTTCTTTTGTCAGCAAATCTCTTGTCTTTCTTTCAAAACTTTATTTCTTCAAACATTTACCCCTGTCCATCTTTACCTTCTACCAGTTTTCTTGGATGGTTTTCACACCTCTGAACAGGAGTGTGCTCTGTGGATTGGTATCACACAGAGCCAAGGGCAGGAGGCTCAGCTCCATGTCCTGTTGTCTACTACCTTTGCAGCCCTGTTCCAGGCACTTTCTTACTGAAAAGAAATAGATTGGAAAGCTGCAAGCCCTCTGGGAAGAGACCAGAGGAAGGTACAGAGACTACAGCTGAGCCCTGCCCCAAGTATGCCCAAGAGTTGAGGGCAGACTGTGTAAAGCTGGGCCCAGCTGGTTTCTCCTGTCATCCCTCTCTGTCTTCTGCCTAATAATCCCAATGATGTCCTCCCAGCTCCCTGGGCATCTGCCCACTCCCACTGTTCCTGGGATAACCTCTTGCTTCACTTGGGCTGTGCACAGCCTATGTTGGCCCATCCTGGCAGCTGCTAGAAGCACATGGCACTCTGCATTGTCACACGCAAGTCCAGCTAGTTACTTCTCTGTTGCTGTTTTTGGAATTAGTGGAAGATGTTGGCATATTAAGGTTTAGGGTCTCCTTGGTGGCATGTCTTTCCAAAAGGCAAGCACAGAAAATCTGAGTCAGGGATGCAGAGAAAAGGAAACTGAGGCAATATGCAGAGCCAAACTAGGGCTGGTGTCCTCCTAGAACTGCAGAGTCTCCTATCTTGTGCCACTATACAAATGCTCTTCTAAGAGGAAGCCATAAAGAATTCAGTGTGGCTAGGGTGCTCCATAGGAGGGAGCTGCCTGGCAGACTATTGGTAAAGGGATGAGGTTAGGCCCTTCTGGAAAGTTCTTTCAAAGGGCCAGGATTTGTCTGCCTGTGTCAGGCCAACCAGATGCAAATACAATAGCTCTGCATCCTATGGAGCACAGCCCCCTGCGAGCCTGGCCGGTCTAAGCCTGCATTCTTCTTCTGCTTGTCCCTGTGCCCCAGCTTCTAGTAAGTGTGATGTCTCTGTGGCTGTGATGGTGATGTGTGAGTGACTAACAGTCACACCTATTAGGTCCTGCCACACTGGCAGCTCAGATTGCATGGTGTGATTTCAAGAAGTGTGAAAGCACTTCTGCTAAATCTGGAGTGCTGCAAGTGCCTCTTCTGAGGTTTCTGTCCATTTGAAAAGTAACCCTTGGGAGCCAAGGCCTACCAGACACCTTGGTATTGTTTAAGAAACCATGCCAATGCTGCAGCTTAACACCTGCCATGTCCTACCACAGCCTGGCTTCTGGAAGGGCCCAGCTGACGCCCTCGCCGGAAGCAGTGCATAAAACACAAGGGCACCCTCTATGAATGTCTCTGAGAATGTGTATTCCACTGTTCCAGAGTCTGGGCTCCTCATGATATGTCCATTGACCTCTAGTAACAATGGTCTGGCTGCAGTAGCCTGAGCTAAAAAAAGGTGTGTCATTTTCCTGCCAAGTACAAGGCATAGAAGCCGCTGACTTTGTTTTGGAAGCTCAGGCCCTTTCCCTTTGGTGCCATGGTAGAGGTAGCTGCTCTGAACATCACAACACCTTCTAGACAAGAGAAGGTAGTGATGGTCAAGGCAACCCTTTACAAGCCTTCCTGGGAGTTGGAGAACAGATGAGTTCCAGGTCACCCCTTCCTAGAGGTGAGAGTGTGTATGCTGGGAATATAGCCTGTTCTCTTCCCCATCCAACAACAAAAGGGTGATGGAGGAGAAGACAGATGGACAGGTCACCATAGACCTCTGTTGTCAAGTGCCTTCATGGCCACTCTGGTCATGCATTTGAAGGCTGTTCTTTCCTTCCAGCCAGGGTTCACCATCTGATCCATTATCACTGCTGGGGTGTATGTGTGGGGTGCCACAACTTCCCTGTGAGGCCCCAGTGCCACAGGGGAAACCAGTGAAAACAGCAATGGGGGACATATGGCATATGATTATTGCCCTTCAGAGTCCCATCCAGGAGACAGAGCAAAGGCCACAGAGGACAGCACACCTGGGATGGATCCCTCTGTGCCCGCTACCCTTCCCTGGGGACTGCAGGTCCTTGCCACCATCCTTATTGCCAGCACTACACACTCCATCCCTGACAGTGCAGGACCAGCTGCCCTGTGCACCCACACGGGTGCTGGCACCAGGTTGAGGGCTACACATCTGTAAGGATTTTAAAGTGTCATCTCCCTGGGGAGCTTGGCCACCAGGATCCCACCCTCCAAGGAGCCTGTAGGTTTGTGTCAAGCTGTTACATGTGCTGACATAGATTTATGGGTTGAGTACTCCATGTCTCATCCTGTGCACATCTGTGTGGTTCCCCACTCACCCGGTTGAATCTGTTTGCCCTGTCCAGCACACTTCCCCAGAACAGCATTGCTTCCTGGATTCCTCTTCCTACTGGTGCCAGAAGGGGCTCAAGGGGCCATATTGCTAGAGAAATGGGACCTCAGTAGTCCATGAAGCCACGTTCAACTGGAACTGTGGTTTAGTGCCCCAGAGTACATGTTCAATCATGTATGGGTCATCCAAATATCCTGTATCTGATGTGATTTTGCACTTTGAACTTTTACATTTTCCAAGTTCTGTTGACTATATGACTTTAAAAAAAGCAAATTTTAAAAAAATATTGCCCAATCACTTCCTGTAAGCTGAAGGGTATGCTCCCACCACATTCTCGACTTAGGCTTCCTCCTCACAGCAGGAGTGACTCTCCTAACGCACCTCAGCTCTCTTGCCCCATCTATGCCATCATCACATCCCACAAGCAGTGAAGTGGAGGGAACACAAAGGGGTGACATATGCTCTGCTCCTAGGAAGTTCTTCCCCCACCCTGCCAGCTTTCCATGAGTGTGAAATGCCCAGCTTGCCCAGGCTGCACAGCTCTCCAGAAGTCACTTATCCCTCTCTCCTGGCCCCTTCTGATGGTAAGCAACCCTAGGCCTCCGTGCCAGAATGGCCATACCTACTTCACACAGAGTCACATTCTTTCATAAACCAGATGCCAAACAACCTGCTGGGGACTGTAAATGATAACCCTAGGTCCCCTGTGGAAGTATCCACACCCACAAGTGGCTTCCTTCCTCTCCAGGTTAGTTGCCCAAATTCATGATGAGCTGCTGTTTGAAGTGGAAGACTCTCAGATCCCTGAGTTTGCAGGTGTGTCCAGGAAGCATGGGGTTAGTGTTACCCATGAGGAAATTTGCCATCTCTTTGAAGCTTCTCCCCTCTGTCCCTCAAGCTAGCTGGCAGCTAGTTTGGTAACCCTAGTAAGGAAAGATATGTCTAGTGCTCCTGAACAGACATGAAGCTTCTGTACATAGACATCCATGGCTGAGCCTCCACTCGGGGCAGTGTAGAGAGATGATGACACAAGCTCACAAGATAGATCATACTGTCAGAACCACAAAGCTACCTTCAGAGGCATGACAAGAACATGAGACTTTTGCCAGAAGCATGAGGGATTGTGGTCTTCCATGCCCTGACTGTTTTGACTGGGAAGGGTAACTTGGTGCCTCCTCCTAGCCCTGCACCATAGCCAGAACTAGTGACATAGGCACAGTGCCTACCCACCTCAGCTGGCCTGCCTGTGCTGGGGAGAGCTGGGGTGGAAGGACGGAGCCAGCTCAGCCAGTACAGTGGCCAGAAGGGTAGGCTGTGAGGGTCCTTGAAGCTGCATTTTGAGCCATGGATGTGGACACTGGGTGTTGAACCAGCTATGAGGTTACATGACCAGTAGTTTTGAGCGCATTGTAGACCCAAGAAATAACAAGGTCACTTGGATCAGGCAGGACTGAGCCTGAAGATCCCTCAGTCCTCAACTCTTGGGGCCTGGAAGCCAGAAGACTGGCCAGACCCAGACCTACACAGCTATAAGCAACTGTTTTCCTGTTCTAGATCTAGTCAGAAGAATCATGGAGTCCTTGCAACAGGTGCAGAGCCTGGACCTGCAGCTGCAGGTGAGGAGACACACATCTGCCCAGCATCACTGCCATATCCCTCACAGCTGGAGTCAAACCAGGGTGGGCAGGAGGGTCCCACTCTTCAGAGGTCAGGGAGGGCAAAGAATAAAGCAAGTCCCAGCCTTGTGCACCAGGACCGACATGCTCCAAGCCTCTACTTGTCCCTCCCCTACTGGATGACTTGTTCGTTCTAGGTAAGAAGCCACCACCATGGATATCTGCTGCTGCTCCTATCAGCCTCTAGCTAAATCCCTTCCCTGAGGCTTCTCCTTGCTGAGGGTGTGGGCACTGGGCCCCTCCTACCCCAAATACACCCAGGGCATGTCTAAACCCAGGCCCACTCTGCACCTGGCTGAACACTACTTGGAAGCAGTTCTGGGTTCCTGCCAGGAAAAGACCCCTGAGTGTTTCAACACAGGCTCCCCAGAGCAGTGTGGACAACTGGGCAGGGAGTGAAAAGGTGGGAGGCCTTGAAGCCTGCAGAGCCACCCAGATGGTACCAGTAATACATCTTGTAATTTAGTAAAGTGTTCAGCCCTGTGGGCACCTCAGAACCAACCAGAGCCACAGAAGCGGCTGACCACCTTCCGGAGCAGCCTTGGCTTTGCTCACAGGCTTGGGGGCCTTCCTGGGAAAGGTTCTGACCTGCTAGACACCCTGCTGCACACCAGGGCATTGTGCACCTCTGGACAGGTGGCAGCTTTGCAGGATTAAGGAGTAACACATGTTTTTACCCACTTAGTGGCAGGACCCCTGGCCCCTGAGGTAGTCTACAAAACCTATGCCTGTGTTAGGCGAAGAAGTAGGTGCTGAGGTGGGGGGGGGGGGAG